GCAATCCTTCCGCCTCAGCCTTCCGAGTAGCTGGAACTACAGGCATGCGCTACCACGCCTGGCTGATTTTTTTGATTTATTGTAAAGATGAGGTCTCGCCAAGTTGCCCAGGCGGGACTCGAACCCGTGGGCTCAGGTAATCTACTCACCTCAGCCTCCCAAAGGCGCGGGATTACAGGCTGAGCCACCGAGCCCGGCTGGCACTTTCATTTTTAAATGCAAATGACCAAGATACATTTCCAGATATCTTGGTCTCAGGGGAACCCTAATCTTGTTCAAGGAGAGGTCTTTTATAACTCTCGAACCACACAGGCAAAAATCAGGCTGCATGACCTGACACAACTGCAGAAACCAAGAAAACATGATCGAAACCAGGAACAAAATGTAAAATCACCCTTTACTTTTCTATTAAACAATGCTGTCAAGGTAGTGCAAGATGTTTCCTGGTCTATCTTAGACCCTAGCACAGGACTGTAATTCATCACTAGTTAGTATATCTCATTCAGGTTTGACCAAACATCAGCACCATAGTTCCTGGTATTCCTAGGGATAAGCACGGGGTGCACTAGCCTCGCTGAGACTAATCCTGCACTTGTACTGTCCACACTCCTCTTGCCCCCACCCTTGGCCAAGCTTTCTTAATCAGATCACTCATCGTTCTTTTTGTATTTTTTTTACAACATTTACAGACTAGAAAAACAAGAAGGATAAGCACCAAAATTCGAATCATTTGTATCATCCAATGAAGTGTAGGTGTAATTTTAAAAGAAACATTGCAGTTTATCAAATATGTATTCCAGTACCAACTTGCCCTCCCTCCCTCCCTCCCTCTCTTCCTTTCTTTCTTTTAGAGTTGGGGTCTCACTCTGTTGCCTAGGTGCAATCCTCCTGCTTTAGCCTCCTGAGCCAACTAAAGTGTGTGCCACCACTCCCAGCTAATTTTTTTTTATTTTTTATTGAGAGAATATCTTGCTATGTTGCCTAGGCTGGACTCAAATTCCTGAGTTCAGGTAATCCTCCCACCTTGGTCTCCCACAGTGCTGGCATGAGCCATCAAATGCATTCTTAATCACATACAAGCCTGATAACCTCTTTACTTCTTCTCTTAGTTGAAAACTAAACTTTACAAAATATACCAATATATTGTTTCAATGTAAAATTAATTATTAACTAAATCTAGTTCCTTCTCTAACCAATCACCTTCCGTTAAAACAACATCTTATAGTGGTTTTACGTCAAGTTCCCAATACATTTGATCACTGATATCAGTATTATCAAATGTTTTGATAAAATCAAATTAATTACACCATTACATCAGCGTTATACCAAACAGCAGTTACATTTGAGTTAGATTAACATCATTACTAAATAAATCAGAATTTCTATAGTATCTTTGTCATTCCAACAAAAGACACCCGCCAATATGTAACAGACTAGTGTAAATCAAGTGCCATGTCAGTTAATTCTGTATTGCAAGTTTCCTGTAGGCGCAGGTGTTTCATACTGTAAGACTGCACTGACATGGGTTTCCAATGATGTGAGGGAGGCTGTCATAGGCCTAAGAGCTCCTGAATAGGCTTGAATAATAGGAAAAAGAGTAGGGTTGTTTGAAACCAAAAATAATAAGATTAAATGGAATAAAAAAAAAAAAACCTCTCAGGACAATTAAACTGGGAGACTTAGTGGCCACCAAAATTGAATGGATCTAAAAGGCATATATGGAAAACCTATAGCTAACATCATATTTAATAGTGAAAAGACTGGGTGCTTTGCTCTAAGATCAGAAAGACTAGAATGTCTGCTCTTGCCTCTTCTATTCAACCATGCGTTGGAGGTTCTAGCCAGGGCAGTTAAGCAAAAAAGAAAAAAAGAAAAACATTCCAGGAAGAAAAGGAAAAAGCAAAACTATCTCTATTTATAGCTAGCATGATCTTGTATATGGGATATTCTAAAAATCCATTAAAAACAATTAGAACTAATAAATAAGCGTAGCAAGGTGCAGAATATAAGATCAACATGCAAAAATCAATTGGATTTCTAGTCACTTGCAATGAAGAATATAAAAATGAAGTTAAGAAAGTAATTCCTTTCATAATAGCATTAAAATACTAGTACATGGGAATAAATGTAATGAAAGAAGTATAAAACATACTGACAACTACAAATATTATCAAAAGAAATTAAATTAGTTATTGATAAATGGAAACATATCCCATGTTAATATATCAGAAAACTTTACACTGTTAAGATGAAAACATTCCCCAAACTGATCTACAGATATAATGTGATCACTGTAAGAACATCAACTTATATCTCTGTAGAAACTGACAAACTTAGGCAGGGTGTGGTGGCTCACGCCTATAATTCCAGCATTTTGAGAGGCCAAGGTGAGAGGATTGCCTGAGCCCAGGGGTTCAAGTTCAGTCTGGGCAACTTGGTGAGACCTCATCTCTACAATACATCAAGAAAAATTAGCTGGTTTTGGTGGTGCATGCCTGTAGTTCCAACTACTTGAGAGGCTGAAGCGGAAGGATCATCTAAGGCCAGCAGGTCAAGGCTGCTGCTGGCTGGGAATGTGCCACTGCACTCCAGCTTGGGCAAAAGAGCGGGTGAGACTCTTGACTTAAAAAAAAAAAAAAATTGACAAACTGATTTTAAAATTCATAAAGAATTGCAAAGGATTCAGAAAAGCCAAAATTATCTTGAAAAAGAATAAATTAGGAGGCCTCACATGCATCCTGATTTCAAAACTTATTACAAAGCAACAGTAATTAACACAGTATAATATTGGCAAAAGAACAGAACTATATATTCATGGAATTGAATTGAGAGTTCAGAAATAAACCCATACACACGTGTGGTCAACTGATTTTCAATAGGGTTTCTCTTTTCAATGGGAAAAGGGTAGTCTTTTCAACAAATGGTGCTAGAACAACTGGATAGCTATATGCAAAAGGATGAAGTTGGACCTTACCGCATACCATATTAAAAAATGAACTAGGAAAGGGTCAAGACCTAATATAAGAGCAAAAACCATACAATTCTTAAAAAAAAAACAGGAGTAAATCTTTATGACCTTAGGTTTGGCAAAAGATTTTAGATATGACACCAAAGCATAAGCAACAAAAGAAAAAAAAGATAAATTGGACTTCATTAAAATAAACTTTTGCATTTTAAAAGACACTATCAAAGAAGAAAACTCAGAGAATGAGGACAAAAATATCTGTAAATCATATATGTGATAAGTGACTTTATCTAGATCTAGATTATATCAAGACCTCTTACAATTTGATAAAAGACAAAAATAACCCAATTAAAAAGGGACAAAGGATATGAATAGACATTTCTCCAAAGATATACAAATAGCCAATAGGCATATAAAAATATTCTTGACATTATAAGTCATCAGGAAAATGCAAATTAAAACCATTATGTAGCTTCACACCTACCAAGAAGTAAGATAACAAAATAAGTGTTAGCAATGATGTAGAGAAATCACAATCCTCATGGTGGGAATGTAAAATGGTGCAACTGTTTTGGAAAACAGTCTGCAGTTCCTCAAGTGATTATACGTAAAGTTACTATATGACCCAGCAATTCCACTCCTAGTTATATACTAAAATAAATAAAAACATATGTTAACACAGAATTACATTGGCTATAATATGGTTCCAGGTAGACAGCAACAGGTTTTGTACAGAATTGATACTCGTTTAGATTTGGATTTGTATCCTTGGTAGCTGCAGGAAACACCTTTAACGTTATTAGAGGCCACAGCAGAAATTAACTCAGTTTGGACCCCTGATGATATATCATTTGATAAGGAAACTCAATTTACTGCAGGTGCAGTTCAACATTGAGTTGAAGCATCATGTACAAGAGACTGACTTAAATATATCACTAAACACAAAGTATTGGACTGACTGATTGGACCAAATGCTTGAAATATTTACTTTCCAAACTGCATGAATCTCTTTCTAATAAGAGACAGAGTGACTTGCATGATGGGATGTGTGTTAAAATATAACAAGCATGGAATTAAAGGGGAGATCAACACTGGATAGATTGTTGAGATACTGTAGGAAAAATTAAAAAGAAATAAGGGGAACAGGATAATGACACAGAAACTTAAAAAATTTCCTCCACATTTCTAAACATTTTCTCTATTCTCTAATCCTGTAGTAGGGACATGGATTACATTTACAAGTTCTGAAGGAAGAATCAGTTGTAAATATGACATGAAAACAATACCTCTAGATATAACTGCCTGAGGAATGATGGAATGGGCTTTTTTTCTTTTTACCCATCTAAGCCTGTGATGAATGGTTTTTTGCATATTTCCTCACCAGTGAAGAAGACAGTTATATAAGCTTGTAGTTATCCAACCCTACTTTGTATGACTGGGAATGGACAAAGGAGAAAGCACTGACCACTCTGGTGTGGCTGTTAGCTCTATGGATATGTCCTCTTCCCAAATCTGGTGGTCTTTTAACCCAGGGGTCAAGGTCTGGGTAAAAATTAATGATAGTAGAAAGGAGGAAAAGTTTTTACTTTCAGAAAGGGAGCCAATATGTGAGTAATGCAAAAAGAAAAAGAGAATAATACTCTTAGCTTACAGATACTCATAAGGCCCATAACACCTGCTGAAAGTCTCCTTTATTTGAAGCTGTCTAGGCTGGGTTGCAGGAGGTTTAAGGAAATTGAATCTGCAGTGATCTGCAAAATTTTATCTGCATCTTGATGTGCTAATAACATCTTACAGATATATACTTAGATTCTAATTCTAATGCTAATACTTGTCTTTTGGCTCCCATTTTACAAGTTTTATCTATTCTAAAGCACTCCTTTGGGTAGGGAAAATTGGACTCTCTTTTCTCCCAAATGTATACAAAAGATTTTGTTCAACAATAGTCATAGATCACCACGTAACTATTAAACAAAGTTATGATTGGTTCAGAAAGAAGCTGGGAAACATAAACCATCTACTACATTTCTGACTAGTAAAAGTATCATGTGCTCTAATGCCTATATGCCCTGTTTTTGTGGGTAGAAAGCAATTATATAGGCAAAAATTTCTTTGTAAATGAAAACCAAGTAAATATAACTTGGTGGGCTTATGCACTTATCACTGATAGTCCTGATTTTTTTTGTTAAGAATAATTATGGGGTAAAGTATTTTTGGGAATGACTACTACTCATATGACACTATCTCAGGGAACTAAACATTTTAGGATCCATAATATATATTCAAACTACATTCAAGCAGTAATAACTCAATGGCAACAACATATTTGGAGGCTAAACTAATCTTAGCAGAAACACTGGCACAGGGCTATGAGTCCTATATAAGCCCAACTTGCCTTTAATGAAAAGAGACATACTGAGGAAGAAGACTTGCTGGCGTGTACTGGTTGTTTACAGGATGTTATTTCAGGAAGAAGGGAAATGGTGGCAAGCAGCCTGGAAAAATGATAAAACAAACTCAACAGTTACATAAAATGCTAGGGGGATAAAGATGGGAAGACACAGGTATGTTGACTCAAGGATTGAGTATGCTCCTCAATTAAAAACTGAAGAAATATAGAAAAATGGCCTGGAGTCTTACCAGACTGAGCACAAAGAATGAATTTATGGGAGACTTATGGTCCTCTAGTCTAAGGAAATTTATAAATGGAGAATGTAATTTCCTCTCAATCAATTACAACATTTTGGTAAATAAGCAAGGACTGAATTTGTTGAGACAAATGGGGGGGGGGGGGAGAAAGGAAAAAAAATCTCTAAATCTTATTTAGTCACGCTCTTAATCTAAATCATAATTTAACTGCTATTTGATACAATACTGGTGTCACTGGTGAGATTAATATGAACAAATACAATGACAATATGAATGAGTAAATATATTAGGAAACTGAATTAAAACCCCTACAAGATGATCTTCAGATAAAAGGTAATTATCAGAGAAAATAACTAGATTTAGCCAATAATTGTTACATTATTTCACAAAATTCAACTTTCTGTGGTAGAAAGAGGTAAGTTTTCAAGCTTGTGCACAATTAAGAACAAGTTGTTGCTGGACTATCAGGTAAACTGCAATGTTTCCTTAAAGTTATACCCAGTCACTACACACATTATTAGTATTTTGGTGTTTATCCTTGTTTTTCCCTTCTATAAATGTTGTAAAAGACAAAAGAATGATGACAGGTGATTTAAAAAGTTTAACCAAAAGTTAAGAGTGTGTGGAATATAGCAATGTCTATTGCTACCATGTGTTTATCCCTGGGAACACCTGGAACAAGTCATGATGCTAACCCTTGGCCAAACTTGAATGAAATGTATCAACTAGTGATGAATATAGTCCTGTGCTAGGGTCAAGACAGACCAGGGGGCAACTTGCACTAGCTTGTCAGTACTGTTTATAGAGAGGGTTTGCATCTGGTTTCTATCATGTTCCCTTGGTTTCTGTTTTTGAGCCTACTCATGCAACCTGATTTTGGTTACTAGAGGGGTATTGAAAACCTTTCCTTGCATAAGATTAGGGCTTCTCTAAAACCAATATGTCTTACATATATCTTGGTGGTTCAAGATCTGAAGATGAAGTGTGTCCTATTCAATGGAGATAGAATTCTGGGAGCTGTACCTGTTAGTTCTGGAGCTCTGTTATTTCTGCCTGTGTGTGTGGTTTTTTTTTTCCTGCTATTATGCTATAATCCCGACCTTTATTAAGGCTATACAGAACATAAAGACATAAAGAATGATCATTATTTAATGCTTGGTGAATAAATGAAGATTACAAAATGTCATTCTAACAATAGCTAATTCTGCTGCCCTTATATTTTGACTGGTGTTTTTGCTCTTCAAATTATGCCCCTTCTTTCGTTTCTTTTTGCTTGGTTGTCTGCCACTCTCTGCTGCTATCAGCTTTGAGTAACACTCCACTTTGCTACCTCTGAAGCTCCTGATTGCTAAAAAAACATGACATTCAAGAATGTTGCTGATTTAAGTCAACAGGATGGGAGCAAAGTGTGTATTATTCAGATAAATGAGTTCTGTAAATTATTTTACCAATAGAGATTTTTTTTTTGAAGAGCTTACTTGAGGTCTCTAAGCTTTTAAAGTTATGATAAGATAGACAGCTGCAAAGTGCATTATATCAATAAGATCAAGTACAAGTACAATTTTAAGATCAAGTACAATTTTAAGCCAGAAATAAATGTGACAGGATTAGGAAAACTATGAACATTTTTCTCTATATGCAGGATTTTAAAAATACCTCTTAGAAAAGGAGTTATGTAAGGAACAGAATTGCCACTGGAGAATGTTAGTGGAGAATGTTAGTGTTCTAACTGTGAAACCATAAAATAATAGAATAAATAAAAAAGCTAAATGCACCTTTATGTAGTCAACAAGATTTTGATATTCAATATAGTTGCCTCCTCCGACCACAAACACGATGGCCTAACAATGCAAACATAAACAAAGATAGGTACATTGAAAGAAATAGTTAAAACAGTGTTTTAACTTTCAAGCAACATGGTTTTTCTTCTGAAATTATACTACAATTGAGGTTAAAAAAAAAATACTAGCTAGCCAAAGGTCACATTCTAAGCATCTAATGCTTCTTCAATTATTAATAAACTTGTTTCTAAAAAGTATACAAATTTATAAATTTCTAATGTCTATTGAGTGGCACAAAGTAGTAAATATTTTTCAGAAACAATTATAACTACATTCTTCAATAAGTGATACCAAATAAATCTAAAGGGCTTTCTCCAAATAATATTTTTGAACTTGAGGTTATTTATTGTAGGCAGTGAAAATTAAAAAACCTAGCATTTATATACTTTCCAATATATGCTACTTTACTGTATTTATTTTTACTGTGAAGTTAACTTGTATTCCAAATGACAATACAGTCATGGTATCTTCACAAATGTTTGGAATACAATTTTATAAAAAAAGTCCACACATCTAAAACTCTCACTGTAATATAAAAGACTTCTTTTTCTGTGAATTATTTGTGTCAGTTATTTTTAAACTTGAAATAGTATAAGTATATATAAGTAGCTTTATGAGTCAGAAAAATATAGTTGCTGAAAATAATTTTTTTTCGGTGGCTCAGCCTGTAATCCCTCGCCTTTGGGAGGCTGAGGTGAGTGGACTGCCTGAGCCCGCGGGTTCGAGACCCGCCTGGGCGGCGAGACCCCATCTCTACAATAAATCAAAAAATCAGCCGGGCGTGGTAGCGCCTGCCTGTAATTCCGGCTACTCGGAAGGCTGAGGTGGAAGGATTGCCGGAGCCCAGCAGGCGAGGCTGCGGTTGCCGGGAGCGGCCACGGCACTCCAGTTGGGCAACGGAGTTAGACTCCAGCTCAAAAAAAAAAACAGAATCTTAGCTGGGCTCGGTGGCTTAGCTGCAGTCCCAGCACTTTGGGAGGCCGAGGTGAGTGGATTGCCAGATTCTGAGGGTTCGAGATCAGCCCGGGCAACTTGGTGAAACCTAGTCTCTACGAGAAATCACAAAAAATTAGCCGGGCAAGGTAGCGTGTGCCTGTAGTTCCAGCTACTTGGAGGGCTAAGGAGGAAGGATCACCGGAGCCCTGCAGGTCGGTAGCCCTGAGGGTGCCACTGCACTCCAACCTGGGCGACAGAGTGAGACTCCAACTCAAAAAAAAAAAAGGAATCTTGGATGTACAGACTGGAATTTATCAAGATTACCATACACTATTCATTGCAATGCCATGTTTGGGACAAAGACATCCCCCAAACTGCTTGATCACCTTTCATCTTTCCTTTCCAGGAGCAGATAATTTTTATATGCAACTTACCTCTTGGAATGGATTTTTGTTCCTGGGAACTGAGCTGTAATAAAAAAAAAACTGTACTGAAAAGTTCACCCATATAATAGGTATGGGAAATAGACACACATGCACTTTAGATAGGCATTTAATTTCTACCTCCTTCACCTTCTTGGAGGGGTGGGTCCTTTAGTTTTACAGAACTGGGTAGTGAATTGGCATGCAGAGAAGGAAGCTAAGAGGTAGACATCTCAGTGTTCAAAAGGAAATGGGGCAACCTACTGACTTTAAAATAAAATTCTGGAAGATTGAGCAGCATCTCCCATGTGGAGGAGTGGACGTCTGGATATAAAGTGAATTGATCAAGCACATATTTTATGTGGCAAACTTTTACCACACTCAAAACAATATCACATATGGTTTGTTGTAGTGTCTACATTTGTGGAAAAACTGTATGAACACGTGTATGGGAAAGATAACAACCTAGGAGGGAAAGGGGGAATGGGAGAAAGGCTGTGCATTTTGCTGTAGCTTGGTGTTTATTATTTACAGAGGGTGACCAAAAAATGTATACATATTTTAAGAAAGGAACTGTATTAAAATTGTAATACTCAATATATTCTAATAACGAAAGATGAATACAAGTCACGTTTGACTGCAATTATAAGAGGTGCTCAAAGTGGTTGCCATCAGCATCCAGACACCTCTACAGCAAACTAAAAGTAGTACATGGCAAACATCTCTCAAAATGAATACACATTTTTTTGGCACCTTGGTATTTTAAAAATACTTCTTTAGTGTCCAAGAGATCTTCAATAAAGACATTTTCCAAAGCTTTTGCAAGTCAGATTTATATTTGTTTTCAGTGCTAAAATAGAATACACAGTATAACTTATAAGGACCACTTAGATTTTCTACAAAAGTAATTTTTAAAAATCTGAACTGAGAGAGCTATTATAACTTTTCTTAATTATTCAGAGGCTGATTACACAGTTCTACCATCTTTTCCTCATTTCTATGGCCTGCCTGCATATTCCATAGACAGGACTAGAAGTCTACTTGATTTAAATGCTTCATCAGTGCTTAAGTTCCCTCTGGAGGACTTTAAATTATTCTAAGAGTAGACACAGGATAAGGAGAGATGAGACTTAAATAGAACAATATTTCTAGTTATTTATTTTTTTTTATAATCTATTTTTTATTATGATATTGTGGGGTACAGTTAAGGGTTAGGTATACAAATATGCTTCGTTCAGGCACCCTTGTTGATAAGAGGTGTCTCCCCGTCCCCAGATAGATATTTACTACCGTTAATCCCATCTCCCTCCCCCCCATAGTTTCCCACCACTGTCAATCATTTCTAGTTATTAATAACCAAGGTTTAATTGTGGTGGGATTCCTCAAGACAAGGCTTTGTTATACATGAATGCTAACCTTATCTGTTTTATCAATGCTAACATTACTTCTCATTACCAAGCATAAGCTATCTATAGGATTAAAAGTTTTTCAGTACATTTCTAAGAAGCAAAATATAATACAGTTATCCCTTGGTATCCATGGGGACAGTATTTGCATGTAACCCATGCACACCTTCCCATACACTTCATCTCTAGATTACTGAGATACCTAATTACAATATAAGTGCTATGTAAAGAGTATGCCAGATTATATAGTTGTATTAGGTATTATTTAGGGAATAACAACAATTAGAAAAAGTCTGTATGTGCTTGTATAGACGCAACCATCAATTTTTTTTCCTAATATTTTTGAACCCTGGTTGGTTGAATCCATGGATGAGAAACCCATGGATACAGAGGACTGACTGTATATATGTCTGTTAGTTAAATGCAACAGATTTAGGAAGCTCTGTACCCATTAATGATCATTCTTCATACCCATTCCCCATAATTTATTCTTTGTCATATTCTCTCTTGTCAACTGCAGCTGCTATTAGCAGTTCTTAAGCAACTTCAGTAGTATTTCTAGTAAGTTCAGAAAAGAGCATAACATTTAAAGTTATCAAATAATTTAATAATCTAGTGACTAGACTATTTGTCCTGACTATCTACATCGATGTGAAAGCTTAGGACAGAGCAAATACCAAGTTCTAAATATCCCAAATATAAGGTATAGGAAAGAAACCAGCTTCATCTAAGTTTCAGCACTAGAGATAATCATTCCAAGCAGTTCTTTCCCCCGCCAATTCTGTCTATTCTTTCTCTGTATCTTGTTGGCTATTTTCCTATCACCATTAATTAAATTTTGAAAAATAATATCCATAATAAAGAATACCTTACCATACCAGGTCTGTCATAAAAGAGAGAAATTGTTTATAGATCTTTCAAGATTGCCATAAAGTTTTATTTACAGAAGGTTCTCAGGGACTTGAATGTTATGGACCAGTTAATAAAAACCAAAACTGGTATCCAACATGAACGTCTTTTCATTTGCTACAATAAGAATAGTCACTCAAAAACACACACGTTATTCAAACTCCCCTCACTCATACTTAGTTTGTAATACAGCCATCATTTCATTAAAGAAAAAAAAGTAAATACCTAAATGGATTTGTATGTATGTGTGTATATTTGGAAGGAAAAACACCAAAATGCTAAGTGTAATTACTAGTGATTACTACTGGATGAGATTATATATATTGTTTCCTTACCGGTTTTCCATATAGCTTGAATTGTTAAAAATAAGCAGTGCTGCTTTATAATTTAAAAAATCAATTATTTCCACTCTTGAGGGAAAAAAAGTCCACAACAAATTCAACAAGACAAAAGCTGCTTACCTGTCGTTGCCCCGCAGCATTTTGGGATCAAAATATCTATAGTCATCTGTTTCCTATTAAGAAAGTAGAACTTTATTATGACTGTGGAATTTCCCTTTAGAAGGTCATAGTTTGGCTTACAGTATCCCATTTTAATGAATTTATCAATTTTGTAGAATATAGAATAGCCACCCCAACATTTAATGAGCACTTACCATGTACTACCTTTATTCTAAGTGCTTTACATGAAGTTATTCATCTAGTCCCCGTAACAGTCTATCCGGTAGTTACTATTGTTATCCCCATTTTTTAGATGAGCAAGTTGGGTTACAGAGAGGTTATGTAACTTTCCTAAGGTCATATAACTAGCAAGTACAGGAACTCCAGGATTTGAACCCAGGCAGTCTAGTTTCAATGCCTGAGTTCTTAACTACCATGTTATACTGCTTCTCAAAAATATACCTGTTTTATAAGCCTGAAAATAGCTGATGTACTTACATATTTCTCTTTTTAAAATTTTATTAAACTGTCTTCTTATATCCTTGATTTTACTGAATATACAGATTACCTAATAAAGGTTTACAATCTCTCTTATCTGAAACCTTTGAAGTTAGATGTATTTCTGAGTTTAGAATTTAAATATAGATAATATTGTACATATACTGCATATAAGATGGATAGCATCCCATGATCTAACATGTTAAGATTTCTACAGGTAAATATATGATGTTGACATAAAATAGGATAAAAGCTATAAAGAGCCTCGACTTGAGTCTAGGTCAGGTTTTGCCACCAAATGAGTAATACAAAACCTTTTTAGTTTTCAGAGTTTTCTGGATTTCAGAAGTTGTGGATAAGGGTTTGTGGACCTCTACACTACACTGGAAACTTAGTTTTCGGATATTAATGGAGTTGAAAAATATTGCTCTACTGCTGGTTGATATAATCACCTCCTAATCTATGCCTTCCTCTCCTTCCATAGTAGATCAGTCAAAAAAATTCATTTTTTTCTAGAGTATGGACAGTCCTACCAAAACCTGATCAATGTCAAATAAACTACACATGTTGCTGCTATTTAGTCCTGTATCCAGTGGTGGACACCACTAATCAATCACAGCACTCTCAGTAAACTTAAATATAAGGGGTACCCCCAAAACTCAACTTATTTATAAAAAATTGTGTCTTTACTCCTACATGCTTAAACTTCAGTCATCTTCCAAGTGCTCTTCATTTGATGCAATACACCTGTCAAGATGCTTTTTCCACTGCTCAAAACAGTCTTTTAACTTGTCAATTGTGATGGCTTTTAGTGCTTCTGTTTTTTGTTTCTCCTCTTCCACACTGGCAAAATGTTTCCCTTTGAGGACTCTTTTTTCATGCAGGGAAACAAAAAAAGTTGCTGGGGACAAGACTGGGTGAATAGGTAGGTGGGCACAGGGGTCATGCCATTTTTGGTCAAAAACTGCTGAACACTCAGTATGCTGTGGGCAGGTGTGCTCATGAATCACCCATCATAAAATGGGCAAATGCAGTGAAACAATCTCTTGTAAAAAAAAAATCACTGAAGCCGAACGTAGCCTCTCACAACAATGCTAGATGGTACACTGATGCCAGTGGGTTCCTAAAACATAGTGAGGGAAGCCTGTACTACAAGGGGCCTGCCCTCCAAAAAAACCCCCCCCACACACATACACACACGGTGTAAAAAAAATGTAAACACATTTTAAGAAGAAAAAAACTATTAAAATTGTAATACAGTCCTGTTTGTCACATGGTGATGCTAGCATTCATTTAATTAATACCATCTTTTGAGCAAATGTCATACTACACATTGCTACCGTAATTCAATTCAACTTCGAAAAGTGATACATAGATAACATCTCTTATTGGCACCCCTGGTATATATAATTCCATTTTTTGGTACCTCCTCATATTTTACATTTAATCACATAGGATATAAACTACACTTGAATGAGAGCTGCCTAGAATGGTTGCAAACCAATTCCCAGTATCTCTGATAATGGCTAAAAAAGGCTCTTCAAGAACACAGACTCTTACTTTCCCTCATGTACTCTGCTGTAATTAAGCTCACAATCTGATTTTATTGTCTTTCATACTAGTCAGTTTGAAACATTCAAGAATTAACAAGTATAATGTTATATGCTACTTACAGGGTTTGACTTCATCTCCATGAGATTGTCTAAAATACGAGTAACAGGTAGATTCTGTGGAAGAGATTAGTGAGTATTTTGTTAAATATTAGGATAACAAACCAAAGTTCCTGTGTATTAACAAAACAACCTAATCATTCTACAGTTAAGTATGCTCATCTTTCAATTAAATACATTCTCAGAAATATTCTGTGTATGGTAAAATACAAATACCCTCGATACTACTCAAGTTTCCCTAGAAAAACATAATTCTGAATAAAAAGCTCCTTTAAACATGTATACATATTCAGGTTTCAGTAAAAATATGTGATGTCTAGCCTTTTTATTTTGTTGAGTGTTTTTTAACAGTAGTAATTGTAAATTTTTGATTTGATCAAATAAGAATTCCATTGTATTTCTTTTCATTCTTTTCTGTGGATTAAAAGAGTTTTCTTTAACAGTAACTTTTTTTTTTGGAGTTGGAGTCTCACTCTGTCGCCCAGGCTGGAGTGCAGTGGCACAGTCACGACCACCCCAGTATTGACCTGCTGGGCTCTGGCGATCCTTCCGCCTCAGCCTTTCTAGTAGCCAGAACTACAGGCGTGCGCTACCATGCCCACTAATTTTTGAATTATTGTAGAGACGAGGTCTTGCCAAGTTGCTGGGACTGATCTCAAACCCTAGGCTGAGGCAATCTACTCGCTTCGGCCTCCCAAAGTGCTGGGATTACAGGTTGAGCCACCAAGCCCAGTCAACAGTAACTTAAAGTTTGTGAAAATGGGGGAGGAGCAAGATAGCTACAGTGGCGGCCACTGCACTCCAGTCTGGGCGACAGAGTGAGACTCCAACTCAAAAAAAAAACAAAAACATAGCTACAGTGGAGCAGCAGACTGAAGCCTCTCTAGCCTAGAAAGACAGAGTAGGGATCCAGCCACCAATAGACAGAAAGAACCTGGACACTTTTGGATGGGTGAAACTCTTTTTACTCAGCAGAGGTCTTGTGGAGCACAGAGATCAGAAAGTGACCGCAGATGTGGGATCCTGGGCACCCCATCCCCCACCCTGTGCCAGACTTGCAACAGAGGCTCTGCTCAGTAAAGGAGAGGGATGAGTGATTCTAAGATACTTTGAGTCAGCTTACCCCCTTCCAGCTGTGTGCAAGTTGTCAGTTTCACCCGAGAGGAGTCCTGATAGGACACTGCGGTGGGCAACTGGAACCTATGTGTAACTGTGAACAAAACCCCCACACAATGTCTTTCACTGTGGAGACTAGCTCCCAGGCAAGAAAGACCAGCCTGCAGAGGGAATCTGCCTGGCATGTCTGCTGCCAGCAGGTAGTAGAGAAACAGACTGGCCCTTCTTGGCTGAGCAAGGCAGAGAGTAGGGACACAGCCACTGACAGCTGGAGATACCCTGAGCACCTTTGGATAGGTAAAACACCCCACACCCAGCAAAGTTCTCTTTGAACACAAAGAACCAGAAAGTGATGGCAAATGTGGAAATCTGAGCACTGCATCTCCTGCCATGCACTAGGCTAGTAAAGAAACTGGTCTTGCCTGGTGAAGGAGGAGAGTGAGCGATTCTAAGACTCTCTGAATTGGTTCACACCCCTCCCAGCTGTGCACAAGTCATTAGTCACTTGCAACAAGGGCTGAAAACTGGTTGGACAAGTTTAGCAGTGGGAAAGAAAATGTGCAGTGATGGAAACCTGCCACAGGGTGAAGAAGCAACAGTGAATGCTTCTCCCTCTCTCAGTGAGTGATAGATTATAGAGAAGGAAAAGAGGGCTACCACAAATGAGGAAAAATCATGAAAACACACAGGCAACCCTCAGAGTCCTAAAGAGACAGAGCCCCCCAAAACAGCCATCAGAGCACAAACAATGACCTGTCCCAGATAACAGTCACAGAAATCAGAGATTGGATGGCAAAAATTAACAGAAACCAAGAAAAATAAGAAGCAAAGTCAATGAAATGATACAGGAAGGAAAAAGCAGAGTTGGCCATTTTCAAAAAGCCTATTGTGAAATAGTAGAAATAAAGAACTCCATTCTAGAAATAAATAACAAACTATCAAGCATAGGGAGCAAAACCAATCAAGCAGAGAAAAGAATCCCAGAGCTTGAAGACCAAAATAGGGAATTAACCCAAACTGTCAAAAACAGGAAAAAAAAGCTCCAAAAAGAGCAAAGCCTCCAAGAGATGTGGGAATATGTCAATAAGCCAAATCTACACCTGATTGGTATTCCTGAAACAGTAGGGGAAACAGAAAACACCATGGAACAAGCATTTCATGAAGTCATCCAGTGAGATTCAGAGAACCCCCACAAGGTATCACATGAGCAGATCATCCCCTAGACATGTGGTAATCCATCTCTACAAAGTAAGCATGAAAGAAAAAATCCTAAAGGCAGTCAGAGAGAAAGGTCAGACAAATTACTGGTGAAGACCCAACAGAATTGCTCTAGACTTATCTGCAGAAACACTACAAGCCAGAAGGAACTGGTGTCCAATTTTTAACTTTTTTAAAGATAAGCAAATCCAACCAAGAATTTCCTACTCCACCAAGCTAAGCTTCATCAATGACAGAGAATTAAGATCTTTCACAGACATCCAATCCCTAAAAGAATATACCACCTCCAGATCAGCCCTGCAGAAGATGCTTAAGAATGTGCTGAACACAGAAAAAAAAAAGAATTGTAATGTCCATCACAAAAATACAGGCAAACACAGAGTTAACATAGCATGGAGAGCACCCACAAAAATAAAAACCCACACACATATAAATACAAAAATTGAAAGGAAACAAAGCAACCCCCTCAGAGTCCTATGACGACAAACTCTCACATTTCAATAATCAACTTGAACGTGAATGGACTAAACGCGCCACTGCAGAGACACAGAGTGGCAAACTGGATAAAAAAGCATGATCCAACAATCTGCTGCCTCCAGGAAACTCATCTCACTGTAAAGGACACCCACAGACTCAAAGTAGGAGACTGGAAAATGAGCTTTCAGGGGAATGGAAAACAGAAGAAGGAAGGAATAGCTACTGATATCAGACAAAGCTGTCTTCAAGCCATCGAAAGTTCAAAAGGACACAGAAAGACACTACATAATGATAAAAGGCTCAAACCACCAGCAAGAAATATCTGTCCTAGACATATATGCACCCCACACAGGAACACCAGGTTTTATAAAACAACTATGAAGTAAACTAAGAGAGTACATTGACTCTCACACAATCATAGCTAGAGACCTAAACACCCCACTAAAAACTTTAGCTAGATCGAGGCAGAAAACCAATAAGGAGATCCAGAACCTGAAATCGATGCTTGATCAAATGGACTTAATAGACACCTACAGAACATTTCATCCAACAAATACAGAGTACTCATCAACACTGGAACATACTACAAAATCGATCACATTCTCAGACATGAATCAAGCATGAACAAATTTCAAAAAAATTGAAATAATACTATACCATCTTCTCAGAACACAGTGGAATAAAAATAAGTATCAGCACCAATAAGACACCCCCAAAACACTCAGAGATATGGACCCTAACAACATGCTGCTGAATGACTTCTGGGTCAACACAGAAATCAAATCAGAAATAAAAAGATTCCTGGAAACACACGAAAACAAAGGCACAACTTATCGGAATCTCTGGGTTGCAATGAAATCAGTGTTAAGAGGAAAATTCACAGTATTGCACATACATATCAAAAAAACAGAAAGTTCACAAGTAAATGGCCTAACATCACACCTAAAAGCTGGGATGGCAAGATCCCAAAATCCTAGCTTCAGCAGAACAATTCAGATCACCAAGATAAAATCACAATTGCAGGACATAGAAGATAAAAATATCATATAAAGGATCAACAAGACAAAAAGCTCTTTTCTTTAAAAGGATAAATGAGATTGATGGATCTCTGTCCAGATTGACTAAAACGGGGCAGAAAAAGCCCAAATAAACACAAGTAGAAATGCAAAAGGTGAAATCAAAACAGACCCTGAAGAAATTCAAAAGATTACAGAGACTATATGCACACCTGTATGCAAATAAACTTGAAAACCTAAAGGAAAATGGAGAACTTTCTGATATGACAGAACTTCCCAAGGTTCTTCCCAAGCAAGAATAAATTGAAACTCAAAAAAGACCAATAACAATTCAGGAAATCAACTCAGTCATAAGAAATCTACCCACCAAAAAAAGCCCAAGACCAGATGGTTTCCCAGCTGAATTCTACAAGACATACAAGGAGGAGCTGACACCAATCTTACTGAAAGTATTCCAAGCAATCAAGAATGACAGAATTCTCCCCAAGTCATTTTATGAAGCTAACATTACACTGATACCCAAACTTGACAAAGACCCATTAAGGAAAGAGAATTACAGGGCAATCTCTACTATGAACATAGATGCAAAAATTCTCAACAAGATTTTTAGCAACTTTTATCCAACAACTCAGCTCAAGGATCATCCACCATGACCAGGAGGGCTTCATGCTTGGGATGCAGGGCTGGCTCAACATTTACAAGACCGCAAAAGTAATTCAGTACATTAACAGATGTAAAACAAAGAACCACATGATTATATCATTAGATACAAACAAATTTTTACAAGATCAGCATCCTTTTTTGATAAAAGCCCTTGAGCACCTAAACATAAAAGGAACATTACTCAAAAAGCAAGAGCCATCTATGATAAACCCACAGCCAACATTTTGTTCAATGGGCAGAAGTTAAAAGCATTCCCCCAAGAACAGGAACAAGACAAGGATGCCTACTCTCACCTCTCCTGTTCAACATAGTGCTGGAAGTCCTAGCCAAAGCAATCAGGCCAGAGAAGGAAATCAGGGGTATCCAAATAGGAAAAAAGGAAGTCAAGTTATCCCTCTTTGCAGATGATATGATGCTATAGCTTGAAAATCCAAGAAAGTTCATCAAAAGCCTCCTTGTACTAATAAACGACTTTGGTAAAGTTTTAAGGTACAAAATCAAAGTGCACAAGACAGTTGTGTTTCTAAACACCAGCAACAAGCAGGCAGAGAAGCAAATAAAAAGCAT